CAATATTAGCCAGGACTGCACCTGGAACTCCATTCAGGTTTGCCTTCTGCGTTCAGAGGCTCTTTTGCTGCGTTCGCAGGGAACACGTTAGCAGTGAGCCAGACTGGAAGAATAGAGCTGGCACTCAAGCTAGGCACTCCAATATAGCAACAGGTGACACTGTGCCACAACAGTATCAAAACACTCAGGTATTGCGTTGCACTGAGGTATATCATAGTGCTAAGGAGTGGGACAATGCTGGATTTTTAGAAAGGGCTGGCATTTAGCTTAGCAGTTAAGACCCCAGTTGTCTCATTGCCTACTTGGCTGTGCTGCTTGGCTTTGGCTGTCTGCTTCAGCTTCCAGCTCAGGTGAATCCTGGGGGCCGTGAGGGCAGGGTTGCAGCTCAAGTACTTGGGTTGCTACAGAGACATGGATTGAGTTCAGGTCTTCTGGCTTTGGTATAGCCTAAGGGGATTAGACCAGCAGGGGGACGCTCACTCACTCTGTCTCTACCTTTCAAATGAATACATATATAATTTAAAATCATATCTGGTAATAATACAAGTGAGAGTAATGAGCATGACTATAAAAACCACCATCACTCAAATTCTCCCCAGCTGAGAACCGGGGGAGTTGGGGTGATCACCGACCCCTATGTGCAAAACTTGGGGAATTTCGCTATGCTTCAGTCTTGAGAGATAGTAGTATCTAACTTATACAACTGTCTTTGAAATAAAGTGAAACATGTAAAGTGCAAAGCTCAATATACAACACCTAAGACCCATAAAAAAAAGTTATTTGGGCCTGGTGTGATGGCTGCAATGGCTGGGATTGGTGAGAACTGAAGCCAGGGCCCTGGAGCTCCATCCAGGCCTCCCAGGTGGGTGGCAAGGACCCAAGTCCTTGGGCCATTGTTTGTTGCCTTCCCAGGCACATTAGCAGAAATTTGGGCTGGAAGCAGAGCAGGTAAGACTAGAACTGGCACACTGATAAGAATGCCAGCATCCTAGGAGATGCTCAACCACCTGTGCTCAACAGAGCTGTTCCCTCCCACCGACACATAAGATCTTAAGAAAATAACAGGGTTGGGCCTGGCAGCGTGGCCTAGTGGCTAAAGTTCTCACCTTAGGGATCCCATATGGGTGCCGGTTCTAATCCGGGAAGCTCCACTTCCCATCCAGCTCCCTGCTTGTGGCCTGGGAGGGCAGTCGAGGGTAGCCCTAAGCCTTGGGACTCTGTACCTGTGAGGGAGACCTGGAAGAAGCTCCTGGATCCTGGCTTCGGATCGGCATAGCATCGGCCGTTGCGCTCACTTGGGGAGTGAATCATTGGACGGAAGATTTTTCTCTCTGTATCTCCTCCTCTCTGGATATCTGACTTTCCAATAAAAATAAAATAAATCAAAAAAAAAAAAAAAAGAGGCAGGCATTTGGCACAGTGATTAACTCACCTGGGATGCCTGCGTTCCATATCAGAGTTCCTAGTTCAAGTGTGAGCTAGCTTGCTTCTCTAATCCAGCTTTCCTCTCATCAGCATATGATGATGGCTCAAGTATTTGGGCTCCTTCCAGTCACGTGGCAGACCTGGAGTGGGTTCTTGGGCTCCTGGTACCCTCCAGCCCAGCCCTGGCTGTTGCAGGCATTTGGGGAGAGAACCAGCTGGAGAGGACTTCAGTTGTCACCGCTACCTCCTTCCCAGGGTATATGCTAGCAAGAAGCCAGGGAACAAGTAGCAAGGCCCAGAATCAACCATGCATTTCATTGCCGATGTCGGATGGAGGGTCCCAAGCTCACCTGCCTGTTCCTGCAACCAGTTTATCCCTCCACCCCTCAGTGGACCACTGTGTAGTCCCTCATCATCCCCCACTGGTGCCGGAATGCAGATGACTTAAAGCAGGGTCCCGGTGGAAAGTCCTCAGGAAAGATTCCAACATGGTCGAACCACTACATTTCCTCGGGTGGCTCTGCGCACCCTTGAAAACAGGCAGGCAGCCAGTGTGCGAGGCATGCAAGCTCTTTCCTCACTCCCTTTTCTATACCCTCTCATTACTTTTAATTGCATCCGAGCCTCTCTAGCATCTCCTATTTGCTTCTAAATCCAGGACATTGCTCTGCCTCCCACTGGTCCAGCTCAGCACTTTCAGCTCCCAGCGCCCCCAGCAAATGGAGCTGGGCTCCGGTAATGAATTCATCTCTATAATGAACAGTGTAATATCTAAGCCCTGGCATATTTACATAGTAATCTCCACACAAAAGAAGCAACATTACAAAGAGAAGATTTTTTTTTCTTCTTTTAAGAATGCCATCTCCAAACTCTATTTCTGATAGTGCTAAGAACACTGTTGGAATTACCCTGACAGGAAGACAAAACAACTTCCAAGGATGCTGGGTTAGAGACAATAGCTACGCCAGACCCATTAATGTTTAAAGTCAATGGAGCATAAAGCTGCTTCTCCACTTCCAGCCAGGCCTCCTCGCAGAGAGGAGGGGGAGAAATTGCCATGTTAATGCCACTAAAATCCATAAGCCCTCCCCTCAACTTCATTTCCCCTGGAAACTGTGCAGTAAGTACCTTCACTATGAAAATGAGACTCTCTCTCTCTTCGGGTGGGAAAGGCTTCCAGTGCTCACCAGTGAGGGAGAGTGGTCACCAAGACCCAAAGCTGCAGGACAATTGTGGGACACACCTGGGTGACCTGGGCAAGGCCCTGGGCATGCCCAGGTGATGGTGGAGCACAGACAGAAGGCAAGGGCCCAGCTGTGATGGAATGCCGTAGTCACGATTCAGCTCCACTTGGTGACCTGCAGGGGAAGGCTGGCTGGTTTGCAGGGACATGTGCTGGCACGGAGCCAAGCTGCTGTTGATAAACCCCTGCACCTAATCCCACATCTCATTCATGTAATGCCTGACAAAGCCCGTTCCCATGATCTCATTTGATCTTCAGAGAGAAGCTGGGATAGAATTATCTTTTTCTATTTTGCAAGTGAAAACACTTGTAAACTGACTTGCTGGTGGAGGAAACCGTGTCCAGGAGGTGGCTGGAGGAAGGCTTGAATCTACCCCTCTTGGACAACATCTTTGGATGTCACACAATAGCCGAAAATAATGCCAAGCACACTCAGCCCTCCTCATGTAATCAGCAGGTGGAGTGTGTGTGTGTGTGTGTACCCCCACACTCTGCAGACCCAGCCAGGAAGTCGAGGGCAGCCCTGGTTGGCAGGCTCCCTGGACAATAAATTTCCCATCTTCTGTCTTCCCCCAAGACCAAAATTAATCCCAGATGGATTTGAGAGGGAAAAAAAAAATCAAGGCATTAGAAAAATCTAAAGAAAATAGCACCAAGTGTAACTTTCTGGAGGCAAGGAGACTATACTTAGCAGACTATACTTACTTATACTGTTGGAAGGGGTTTTGCAGATTTGACTGTGTTAAAATCTAAGGCAAAGAACAGCTGCAGGGCACTCACACCAACTTTGAAGAAGCAGTTGCAGTGGATGGGAAAGAGAAGGGTTAACGGCTGGCATGCCATCATGCAACTGGGCACCAAAAACTCCACCGGAAACACTAATCAGGAACAGACAACTCACAAAAAGGGAAGTACAGTTAGTTAATAAACATTCAGAAAGCTCTTCAACCTAACACAAGTCGGAAGGCAAATCCATCTGTAAAATCAGCAGAAAAGAAGCCATTAGAAGCGGTTACTTAAATAGGAGAGAAGGGACAATGAATAATGTATGCGCACACATTAATAACAGCAGAGCACATTTGCCCATCTCCTGGAAAGTGATTTCGCACATTTATCAGAATCCTTAAAATATCCACAGCCTCTGACCTGAAATTCCACTCCTGGGAGTTTGTTCTAAGGAAAAAAAAAAAAAAAACATTCACAAGGAAAAGTTTTACCCACAAATGTGTTAATCACACCCTTACTTACAACCGTGAAATTGAGCAAACAGCAAACATCAAAGCAGTTGTTGAATAATTTATTTATTTTTATTGGAAAGTCAGATATACAAAGAGGAGAGAGAGAAGAAGAAGAATTTCGTCTGATGATTCACTCCCCAAGCCACCTCAATGACCAGGGCTGTGACGATCTCAAGCCAGGAGCCAGGAGCTTCTTCTGGGACTTTCATGTGGGTGCAGAGTCCCAAGGCTTTGGCCCATCCTTGACTGCTTTCCCAGGCCACAAGCTGGATGGAAAGCAGCGCAGACAGGACACGAACCAGCGCCCATATGGGATCTCGGGCCCGGCCCTAATAATTTAAACAATCACAGCACTTGGTGGGAACTCATGTAATCATATATCATTTCTTCTTGATATAATGCAAAGTGGAAAAGTGTAATATTCTATCCATGGCTGTGCAGTCATGTAAAAATATGTGTGTAGATATATATATTTGCAACCATAAATATGTTTGTATATATATATCAATATTTTAAGGCAAAAAAAGGAAAAAAAAATCTCAAATCTGACTCCAGTTGCATCCCCAGGGTCCCCATGTGAACCTCGGTGCGGGTGGAGGACACGATACAAAGGTCGAGCCGCGCTACACAGCGTCGGTGTTCGGGCTGTGCCTGGGGTCTTGAGAACTGGGGTCCTCCAAGACCCACCTCACACCTGCTCCTGCACCCCAACTCCGGCCTCCCTCCGCCCCGAGCGGCAGCGCTGGGGGAGGAGCACGCCGGCCCGGGCGTTGGGGACACGTGGGGAGCGAGCGGGGGTTGTGCCTGATTGGGGGTGGGGGAGGCGTCTGTGTCCGTGAGTGGGAGAAACCAAGGCGGGCCGCCTCGGAGTCGCCCACTTCCTGACCTTCTCGTCTGGCTGCGACTGGATCAAAGCTGTCCCCATGTCCCGGAGCCCCTGAGAGGCAGGAGACAAGGCAAGGTCCCATGAGGCTCCGGCAGCGGCCTCGTCTGCTCACAACGTCTCGCGTCCCCGCGCCACCTCGCGCGTCCCCCCCCTCGCCCTGCTCGGTGGCAGCGCCCGGCGCGACGTCACCCATTGTTTACAAATCAACCCCAGCCGGCAGCATTCCGGCTCCGCAGCTCTCCTGTTACCCGGTTGCAGGCGCGCGGCTCGAGTGCCTACCCGGCTTGGCTTCTGCGTCTGACCTGGCCCCGGCCTCGGCACCGGCCTCAACCCGCCCCGGCCTCGCCCGCAGTCCACCGAACCCGAGGCCCAAACTGCCACCGGCCAAGCCCGCGGAGCTCCCGGGGCCGCGGCGGGAGGCCATGCCGTGCCGGAGGGAGGAGGAAGAGGAAGCCGGCGAGGAAGCGGAGGGGGAGGAAGAGGAGGACGAGGGCAGCTTCCTCCTGCTGGAGCAGTCGGTGACGCTGGGCGGCTCGGGCGAGGTGGACCGGCTGGTGGCCCAGATCGGAGAGACGCTGCAGCTGGACGCGGCCCAGGACAGCCCGGCCTCCCCGTGCGCGCCCGCCGGGCCGCCGCCGCCGCCGCAGCCCCCACGGCCCCCGGCGGGCAAGGCCCGGGCGCCCGGCGTTGCGCTGCCGCTGGCGTTGCCGCCGGTGTCGGCGGAGACTGTGGGCCCGGCGCCCCCGGGGGCTGTGCGCTGCGCGCTCGGGGACCGCGGCCGCGTGCGTGGCCGGGCTGCGCCCTACTGCGTGGCCGAGCTCGCCGCGGGCTCCAGCGCGCTGCCGGGCCCGTGCCGGCGAGGATGGCTCCGAAGCGCCGCCACCTCCCGCCGCCTGCAGCAGCGACGATGGCCCCAAGCCGGGGCCCGCGCCGGCGACGACGATCCGCACCGGCTCCTTCAGCAGCTAGTGCTCTCGGGGAACCTCATCAAGGAGGCCGTGCGGAGGCTCCAGCGTGCGGTGGCTGCAGTCGCAGCCACGGGCCCTGCCGGCGCCCCTGCTTCTGGGGGTGGCCGCAGCGGCCCGGAGCCTGTTGCGCTGCACCCCTCTCGCGCCTTTCTCTGAAGGCGTCCTGGAGGAAGCGGCAGCGGAGCCGACCCGACCACGTCCTGCTCTCGGCTACCCCGACCTGACGCCCCTCGATCGGCGTCTTGGGAACCACCGCCTAGGCTGCGGAGAGGCACGTGGAAATATCTGAAGTCCAGGAGGAATTGCCGTTCCTGGTTGGGCTGTGAAACAAAACTTAAGCGTAGAACAATGCTCCTTGAGAATTGGCCCGACCATCGGGGCGGGGGACCTGGGACAACTGTGGCAGCTACTTGCAGCGACTCTACCTGACTTAGCCCTCAGGCCCGTCTGAGTGCTTGGACCGTGAGGGTTTATCAGCATACTTGAAAACTAATGATGCACATCCATCTTCTTATTTTCCAGCGGTGGAGCTTACTGAACATGGTGCTACAATTGCGGTGCAAAGAAATGCTGGGGCCAGGGCCGGGGCGTGAAAGGGCTGCGGGGTTAGGTTTGCATTACCCTCCCCAAGCTCCTACTTTCTCTACTTCATCGGTGACGGGGTGCGAGTTGTGGCCTCCACTTTAGGGGCTGTGCGAGATGTGAAGTTTGAATGTTGACTTTTAAGTGTCTGACCTTGCCACCTGCTGTTCAAGGTGACAGTTTGCCGTGAGTGGAAGGCTCTGGGACTTCGGATTTCAACCCTGCGGGTCCCGTTCCTTTTCTTGCTGGGAGAGCCTGTGTCTGTGCGTTGCCGCTGCAGGGGCACAGGCAGAGGGGGCTGCGTGGGGCGTTGCGCACGTTTTCTGTGCTTTCTTTGTAGAACTCCACCTTGCCCAGTCAGGCTGCTCTGGGCCATGCCAGGAGCTTTCTCAGAAACAGTTACTGACCGTCCTCTCCCATCCTGCCAGCCGGCTTTCCTGGCTGGAGGGATCCTGCTCTTTCTCGAATGTGTTCCCACCCCTCTGGGCCTCGCTTGCCTTCCTGGCCTGGCTTGCCAGCTCCTTGTGTGTGAAGGAAGCTGTTTTCAAATGTGACTGTCCCTGGAGGAGGAGAAGCCTTCCCTGTCTCTCCCCTGGTGAAACTTGATGGCGGTGGCAGCACTTTGGTAAGGTGCCACCCCCCCACACACCTTAAGGTAGCTAAACCAGTTTTTTAAAACATTCAATGGCTTGGTCATCCTTCAGATGTAGCTATTGACGTACACTTCGCAACGGAGTGTCTGAAATTGTGGCGGTCCTGATTTATAGGATTTCTTAATTAAACTGTCTGCTGAATAAATTTGGTTTGTGTTTTGGAGTGCAGTTTGGCTTCTTGGTGGGAGGTGTTAAGGGGGAGGATCTCATGGTGGTAATGATGCTAGCGGCCTTGGTCGTCAGGGCAGGTGCATGCAGGTGGCTGATGCTGGCTCCACACTCCCCGATCTACAACAGTCTGTGCTTTTAGGGAGATGTTCCTCACGATCAGAAAATGAAGTCCAGATTTTTTTTTTGTCCCCAAATATTTATTTATTTTTATGGGAAAGGCAGATTTGCACAGAGGAGAGACACAGAAAAGATCTTCCAAATGCTGGTTCACTCCCCAAATGGCTGCAATGGCCAGAGCTGAGCCGATCTAAAGGCAGGAGCCAGTGTCTTCCTCCAGGTCTCTCATGTGGGTGCAGGGTCCCAAGGCTTTGGACTGTCCTCTGCTGCTTTCCCAGGCCACAAGGTGGGAGTTGGACGGGAAATGGGGCAGCGGGGACATGAGCAGCACTCATGGCATGTTGTCCCTATGGGATGCGAGTGCTGCAAGCTGAAGATTATCTTGCCATTCTATGACCCTGGCCTCTGAAGTCCAGGTTTTTGAAAGCTGCTCTGAGGGTTTCTGTGTCCTGTGTGCATATTGACTGTTCTAGAAAGGCTTTCTGATATGGAGGGAGCTAGTTGGGTCTTTATCTGGAGTTTTTAGAGATGAATTGGGAGGGTCACAAAACCAGCCTGTCCTTGGAGACTGACTGATCCTTGATCTATGGCCCAAACAGAGAAAGACAGACTTCCCTAACAACTTTGGTCATTGTAAATGGCTTGGCAGGGAGCAGACAGAGTGTTCCCCTCTGTTCCTGCCCAGCACTCCCAGGCTAAGACTCCAGGTGGGTTGGGGGTGGCGGTCCTGGGCCTCGGTGATGTCCCTCTGGCTGGCGCATCTGCTGGCCGAGTCGAGCTTTTCCCTTTTCCTTCTGTTGGTAAACCAGTTAATACTGTGAAGTGTTAAGCAATTATTACTACTGCTTGAGACAGAGATAAATCTACTGTTGATTCCCCAAATGCCAAGGGGCGAAGCTGCAATCCCAGGCTCTCATGTGGGAAGCAGGACTCTAATAACTTGGACAGGGTCAGGAGCTGGAGCTGAGAGGCAAACCCAGGTGGCCAGATGTGGGACACAGGCATCTTACCTGAGGGGACTGAGAACTCCAAAAAAACAACCAACCAGCCAAACACACACCAGTTCTTGTCCTCACAGTCACAGGTGAGTTCATTTTCAGTGTTTTATTGATTTCGTTGAAAGGCAGAGAGGAATCTTCCTGAATGTGCCTAGCAGCCGGCCTAGGGGTGAGACGAAAACCGGGAGCACTTGGAGTGGCAAGAACTCAGGTTCTGGCGTCGCTGTCTGCCGCTTCTTGGTGTGCATTGGCAGGAAGTGGGACTGGAAGTGGACCTGCCTCCTAGCATGGGTGGTGGGCTCCTGCTGTCACAGATGCCTGCCTGACATGTGTGAGGCGGACAGTGCTTTTCCATTTTAACAGAAATACCAGGAAAGTCAAGAATTTGCTAAGTTACTGCCCTTGATGTGTTTGTTTTGGAAACGTGAAGTGACAGGGAGGGACAGATACAGTGAGGCTGCTTCATTCCTAAGACGGCACCATAGCAGGGGCTGGACCAGGCCCAAGTCAGGAACCTCTAGGTGGGTAGCAGCTGTTTCTCACTGCTTTCCTGGGCACTGTAGCAGAAAGTTGGAGAAGAAGTGGAGCAGGAGTGCGCGGAAGCAGTGCCCTGACATGGGTTGCCAGTGTCACGATGGCTTCCTACACTGTGCCACGGGGCTGGCTCCTGGAGGTGGGGTCTCAGCGTGTGCACTCTGGCCCTAAGATCTCACGCTGTCCTACTCAACCATTAGATTTCCTTGATGCTGTTTGTATCTGGGAAAGTTCTCAGGGGGTGGTCCTCCAGCCCCGACCCATGATCCTTCAGCAGCATTGCCATTCTGTGGCTTGTGTTGTACAGCAGCTGCAGAGTGCAAGCTTGCTGGGATTCCAGAGGAAGCAGGTTTCTGGATGTTCTGGTGGGACTCATAGGCAGACTTGGGGCTGAGCCCTCACACAGGGCATAGGAGTTACATCCCGGGGAGGCACAGGCAGCAAGTTCAATGGCTGCTTCCTATACAGGCTGAGACGGGTCAGGACAGACATCCTGTGGGTCTGCAGCACCTACGGATGAAATGAGGGTGATGGAAATTTATTATTATTCGAAAGGCAGAATAATAGAGGAAGAGGAGGAGATACAGAGAACCAGAGCAAGGTGCAAGTGGCCAGGAGCAGGTACATATTTTAGGAGATGGGTGCAGGGGGTAGTTGATTGTTAGATTCGTGTGGAAGTTATAGGCACAGCAGCCTGCTCTCTTCAGAAATAACCAGGAGTTGGAAAGAGATCAGGGCTGAAGATAAAAGCCTGGCAGTTAAGGGGAAGGGGGTCATCAGAGCCTGGGGACGCTAACAAGTACTAAGAACAACGTGCTTGCCAATGTCCAGAGAGGGTTAACCATGTGTCAGGCCCTGACCTTCACACTTCACAAAGACCGACTCATCAATGCTGTGCAGGGGGAGAGAGAGGGAGTTCGCAGAGGCGGCAGACAAAAAGCCAGAGCAGGACGAGGGAAGGCGAGGGGGCTGCAGGGTAACCATCCCCCATACACCTGGTTATTTCTGCACGTCTCCTGCGGGCAGACAGCCTGCAGAGGGCCAGGGTACGTGCACCCAGATCCTGCGCAGGACCGTCACCATCTCCTGCAGATACTGAAGTGAACTCAGCTCCTGTTTGTCAGTGTGTTTTACATCTGCATTGTCTTCCTCTCGTTCTTTGCTCAGCTGGCGAGAAGGAGCATTGGTAGGGCATCTTGGAGCTAGAGATTGGCAACCTCTGGGAAAGATGTTCAGGGAACCATCTCGCCCCATTGGGCAGTGGAATTCGAGACGGTTGAGAAAGAAGCAGTCAAAAGGCAGGGCAAAGGTAGCAGAGTGATAAGCAGCTTGCGCTTTTTTAACCCACCCAGATCAATAAGTCAAACAAACAGCTCGCACAGCCCATCCGCTGGGGCTGTGAGTTCATCTCGGGGAGTCAGTTGGTGGGTGATAAGAGGAAGCGGTTAATAAGCTCCTTGCTATCAGTTTTTTTGTTTTCTTCCTAGTATAGCATCAGCAGCGGAGAATTCATTCACACACAACAGCAACCTCCACATCGAAGGCGTGAGGGTGCCTCCAGGTTGCTTCCCCAGCGCCTCTGTGCCAGGCAGCTCTGAGGGACTGCATCCTCCACTCCCCTGAGCAGGACTCACTCAGCAGACTCATCTGCCTGGTTACTCCCAGGCCTTCCCGTCACCCCCAGGACCTTGTCCTTTGTGGCACCTTCCCATCTGGCATGTCCCTCCCTGTCTTTTGCCCACATTAGGCCGGGCATGGGTTGCTTCTGGTTGAAGAACTGCCCACCCTCCGTTCCTGGCTTCTTCAGACTTGTGGGCACCACAGCTCATCACCTGTGTCCCCAGCACCTGCTCTGTGTGCCGCAGTCTGTTGAAATTTTCCATTTGTTTGCTCTGTAAACACTGACTAAATGCTAATACTCAGTGTTACTGACTGTGCCTGTGTTTCAGGCAGTGGCCTGAGCACTTGTCCCAGCATTAGTTCAATTAATCCCCATAGCAATTCGTATTATAATTGGCCTTTGCCGATGAGGCACATGAGGTTAGAGGTGAAGTAACCTGTTCAAGTTCACAGGAAAAAGTTTTAAAGGAAGGAGCCGAGCAGTCTGGCACCGGTGTCCACGGGTTTTTGTTTTACAGCCACATGGAACTGTCCTGAGCTCTGTGTGGCTTTTGGTTTCAAAACTCTCTTGGCTGCTCCTCTCCCCTCCCGCCCAGGCACTTATCACCTGGGGCCTGATGCCCTAACACCATCCAGTGGTTGGGCTGCCCATCAATGCTCATTGTCAGCCTCAATCCATTCCACACATGGAGTGCCAGACAAGCTGCCCAAAACATTCTTTTTATCTTGTCAGTTCTCTGCCATTAAAGAAAATATAAACACCTTGCAAAGAGAAAAGGCAGCCCTGTGAGTCCCTGAGATAATTCTATCAGTAAATAGAATGGTGAGAACTGAATGAGTTCAAAGGTTACTTCTTGCTAAGAACTTGCTCAATCTTCTGGTGCCAAGTGTAGCCCTGAGTGGCCAGGCCAAACCTCAGTACAGCACTGACTTTAGAGCAGGATGTTTCTTTTCATTTAATTGTATTGTTTATTTTGAAAGGCAAAAAGGCAGAGAGAGGAGAGAGAGAGATCTTCCATCCATTGGTTCGCTCCTCAAATGCTTGCAACAACCGACTCTGGCTCAGGCTGAACCTGGGATCCCAGCACTCCAAATGGGTCTCCCGTGTGAGTGGCAGAGACCCAAGCTGCTGCGTCCCAGGCTACACATGAGCAGGAAGCTGGAATTGGAAGCAGGTCTGGGACCCGAACCGGGCACTCAGATATGGAATGAATGTCTTGATCGCTGTGCCCAGGGCCCACCTGAGTGAAGGGTTTCTAACAGGAACTGGGGAGAGCGGAATGGGTGCCCCAGGCTCTTTGTGTCATACTCTGCTGCTCCTCCATTGGTTGCAACCCTGAGCTCCTCTCTAGGGTTGGTTGAAGTGACCTCCGCCCTTTTCCCATTGGAGCTTTATGAGATGGATTATTCTTTCCCTTTATGCATATCTTATCATCTACCTGTGTGTAAACATTGGTGATCAAGAAATTGGTCCTGGGCCTGGCATGGTGACCTAGTGGCTGAGGTCTAGGATCCCATATGGGCACTGGTTTTAATCCTGGCAGCCCTGCTTCCCATCCAGCTCCCTGCTTGTGGTCTGGGAAAGCAGTCGAGGCCGGCCCAAAGCCTCAGGACCCTGCACCCATGTGGGAGACCTGGAGGAAGCCCCAGGCTTCTGGCTTCGGATTGTCTCAGCTCTGGCCATTGCAGCCACTTGGGGAGTGAATTATCGGACAGAAGATCT